CACGAACACAAACAGTTTTGTCAGGGTCCATAGCGATACCGTCAGAGCTAACATTGTGTCCTAAGTAACGCACGGAACGTTGCAACAGATGACATTTCTTAGGTCTAAATTTGAGATTCGCAGACCGCATCCTGTCGAAAACAGCCTTCAATCGCCGAAGGTGTTCTTCGAATGTACGACTGAACACAATAATGTCATCCAAATATATGAAGCACGTGTCCCATTGCAACCCAGCCAAAACATGCTCCATCAAGCGTCGGAATGTGGCGGGAGCAGATTTCAGTCCCATGGGAAGACAGTTAAATTGGAAAAGTCCCTGAGGCATGCGGAATGCGGTTTTCAGCTTCGAAGAATCGTCCAGGGGCAGCTGCCAGAACCCAGAAGAAAGATCAAGAGTGGAAAAGTGTTGCGCACCCGACAACGCACCGAGGGAATCATCCTATCCGGGGCAGAGGGTACGCATCTGCCACGGATACCTTATTAAGCTTACGAAAATCGACACAAAATCTGAGGTTACTATCCTTTTTCTTAACAAGAACAACAGGTGCTCCCCACGGGCTATTAGACGGAAAGATAATGTCAGCGGCCAGCATCTCATCCACCGCGCTCCGCACGCGTTCCCTCTCCGTGGGGCTCAAACGGTGAGAATGCAGTCGGATAGGGCTCACCTCCCCGGTATCAATATGGTGGGACAAGAGCGACATGCGACCCAAATTGAAGTCATCCTTGCTAAAAACATTGGCGTAGTCGGACAGCAACGCCCGTAGTTCGCCGCGTTGTTTAGCGGCCAACGACCGAATTCTCCCGGCACAGTTCTGCAATCCAACGATCGTCGGACAACGCGCTGGGATGAATCGCCCCCACCAATCCACCAGATTCGCTCCCATCGTGGTCTGTAAAGGCGGTATTGGCATGAGCCAAGACCATACCAGCCGGGACTAAAACTCCTTCCGGATCCTCATTCAAAACCTGCAAAAACGGGGCCTCTCCGGAACGGATAATCGTTTGGGCCCCCACAAGAGCAAGACTCTTGGTAGCGGTGTTTGATGGGGATAAGAGTATACCCGCCGCCGCATCTGCATTGCCGTAGCCTTTCCGATATATCGCAATTGAATGAGCATCTGAAAGCCCGGAGGAACTTCAAGAGTAATATCTGCCAGCGCCTGCACTGCAGCGCATAGCAGAGAACGACTGAGCGGGGACGGCAAAAAAAACATCTTACGGCCTGCTGGCAACTCTAGACATCCCTGATCGACAAGGATTTTAACAGGCATCTTTCGAAGAAAGTCAGTGCCCAACAAGCAGGGCACTGCCAAGGACCTGGAAATCAAAACTGGCCCCGACACTGCGACATTCCCAATGGCAATATGTGCGTCCACCTGACCGATGATACCCATACTACCCCCATTGGCAGAAATACAAGCATCAAAGCCCGGCCGCACCCGTGAGACGGGAATAGAAAGGAGTTGGACAATCACGTCGGAGATAATAGTGGCAGATGCCCCAGTGTCCACTAACACCTGAACATCTACACCCTGTATGGAACCCGGCACCCTGGAGGATCCCGTTGCCACGGCCATGACGCAGCGCGCCAACTTTCTCCATTGTGTTATTGATAACGGCCAATCCCCAACAACATTTTCTGAATCGCGGAGCGGTAGATTACTCCGCACGTTGAAAGATGTGTGAGATGACAATTGATGCCGGGTGTCTGATGCGTGCCGACTTGCCTGGCCGGGGTTATGGTCCACCAACGGAGGAGTCAGCGCTGGAGCTGAAGCTTCGGGAGGCGGTGGAGGACGAGGGCGACTCCGGCAATCCCGGGCGAAGTGGCCCAAGCATCCATACTTGAAACACGTCACAGTAGCCCTGTCGTCGGCTCCACGCAAATTGTAGGACCCTTCACGACGCGAGTCTGGCCTCCGCCGCGGATCCCAGCGAGGAGCGGCAGCGGCCAGATCCCTGATCCCCATGTCGTCCAGGATGTGGGTGACCTTCGATGGCACCCATCCCTTCGGCTCACCGTCTCGAGCCAAGTCCCCCGTCCAGGTAGCCATCTGTGCCCAACGCTGCAAGTTGTCCTGCGTGTTGAGGCATCTAGCGGCCCATCAGGACGTCAGCGGCTCATGACCGCACACTGGCAATGTATGCCCATGTCTTTCGCCAACTCAAGCATCTTGCCCAAGATGAGAGGGTCGAGCACATCAGGTCTGGTGGCGGGGTAAGCGGCCATCGCAAGCGCCAACAGAGCACCCCGGTAGGCAAGAGGAGATTCATTACTGCCTCGCCTACGATGCATAAACTTCAGCTGAGTGTCTGAAGCTGGCTCGTAAACTTCCGCCATCTCGGCTAATGCGTCCTTCAATGTCTTCTTCCTGTCGGAAGAAAAGGAGCGGAATACTGCTAGCGACACGTCGTCGAGAAGGGTAAGTAGAGCGCCCAAAGTCTCCTCCTCCATCCACCACACCGAACGGAATGCCAACTCGAAACGCCAGGTAAAAGCACTCCAGTCGCTGCCCGTGACGAATTCTTTGATATGGGAAAGACGATGGCTGCGCCTCACTCCACCGTCTCCGGCGGGCTCCGTCACGCCCGGCAGTGCACCACGTGGCCATAATGGCGGCCGTGTATTGCGCGAAGGGACCCTCCGAGGCCCCCGAACAGAGCCCTGCTCGTCACCACTCAGCAGCACGTCCTGTGGCCGTCCCGGCGCCGCAGACGACGCGACTAGCATCACGAGTTGGAGTAGAACCGTGCGGAGAGAGTCGATCTGCTCTGCAAAACGCCGCCAGCCGTCGTCCGTGCACGGAGACGAAGACGGTTCTGCCCCGACGTCCTTCCTCGGTGCTATGGTCGCACCAGACGTGGTTACAGTAACCGGGTCCACGGCACCCAGGGTCGGCAGGTCTTGAGTGAGCGAGTCGTCATCGTCATCGGAAGACGGCGCATACAATAGCTCCACATAGTTGCCACAATTAGAAGAGCTTGCACTCTCATCGTTAGCATGAAATGCTAATTCCTGTTTGGCTAGGAAGCAGGTCACATTAATAATGTATTTTTAAACCTCACGGTTTTCCTTTAGCTTAGCATTGTGGATGCTGATATTTAATCTCCGCTGTTCATTCAAAGACAGATCTATCCAAAAGTTTTACAGAAATTTGGCTTTGAATGTGAGTTGTCGATTTTTCATGTTTGTTGAGGTTCCTTGGTAGATTTTTCAAGTAAAAAAATCCCGCGTTAGTCCAAACATTGTCGGTAGTGGAGAACAGAAGGCAGGGAAAGCAGTAAAGGTGATTCTTCGTAGCACAGCCACACAGCCAGTCTTTTAGTTGGTACCACTCCATTTGAAACGACAATGTTATTTTCTGTCCCTTCGTTTGAAGTAAGTCCTTAAGCTCAGGCATTTGTTTTCCATTGTTTATCACTTCCTGTTTTGATTGAAAGTCCAATTTTGAGAAATTTTTAAGGTTAGATATACGTTTTCCGTTTTTGCAGCCACTGAATGTTTTTTGCTAGAGCTGGCTAACGTGGAGGGAGAGCGAGCGTCAATTACGTGGGCTCAGGACACGCCCCCCTCAGTGAGGCAGATGTGATAGCTGCCTCACTGAGAGAGGCGTGTCCTCACTGAGGGGGGCGTGTCTTCAGTGAGGGAGGCGTGTTTGACAGGCAGATGTGATAGCTGCCTCCCCTGGTGCTTTTCCATTGCAGTTTTATGACGAGACCAGCGAGCCTAAATATCTTTATACACATACGTGAAATAAGTTACCTGGACTATGGAAGGCGAGGACATGTAATTAAGGGGTCTACAAACATTACATGGGTGACATACTGAGATAGTAACAGGCACGCGCTTATTGCCCGCGCTCCATACAGTTTCTGAGGGGTTGCGCAATCAGAGGGGAGGCTGAGCGCGTCGCTGCCTCACCTCTCGTCTCTCCCTGTATTTACAGCGACGCTCTCCGCAAATTTTGCGATTTTGACGAGAAAAAAGGATGGGAATCATATAGAAATGATATTTATTACACAGATCAGTGGAAAATCTATATATTTATTTAAAGTTGCGCATTTTGATGTGACGTCACATTTCTCAAACCCTCCCCCCCTCATCACACATCATCACAAATGTCTGACCACCCCTCCCCTAGGTGCGTGACGTCATTTATGGACGGTCCCCAACACCGATGACGATTCTCTGAATGATAACCTGTTGTATGTTGTCGATGAGTATGCCAAAATTAAGAGTGAACGCCTTCTTTACATTCAACTGAATCAAAAACGCCTGCGTGTAGAACAGTATGCTCATCTCAGGGACGCTATCAATGCTGAGGGAGATGCAAACGCTCAGAATGTGGGGAGTTTAGTTATTTTGCCTTCATCCTTCACAAGTGGACCAAGATACAAGACAGCTTTATTTTGGTGATTTTGAAAAGTTTTGGTTTAGCTATGTTTGTTGGAGTACAGAGTTAGCCTGATAACTTTAATCTGCATTGTGTTATGGTTGTTATTGTTTGACTTGCACCCCACAGTGATTTTTGCACACAGCGTTGAAGTACTGTGTTTTTTTGTGGAAGACTTTGCTGTTTTTTCCAGGATTTTTATGTTGCGTGTAGTCACTTTAATATGTTTCTTGTTCATGTGTTTTTTTGTTGTGGTTGCACCCGAGTCAAGAGCCGCATGGCTCACAGGGTTATGCCTAATAAATGAAATTGAAACTGAAAACTTCTGTTTCAGCAGAACCAATTTTTACGAATTAGTGTAAACTTTTATTATTCCCTTAACTTCAAAGGCCCGGGTGACGTATGTTGAGTCTGCTTGATTGCTTCCTATTTAAATTCCATTAAAACAAATACCACTGGCGGCTCATTAACGTAATTTACCCATTAATCCTGACCATTACATTCATTATGTCCGGTTCAGCGGCCACGCCCAATCACTCCATATATGGGCACGCCTCGTTAACATAATTTCCTCATACACATCCGCGTTAACTTGAGGGGAGGCGGTGCGTGTGTTAGTGACGTCATGTCATCTCGCCGCGCGCTTCCGTGTGACGTCACGAAATCCCAGGAGCTGCTTCTGTGCGCGCAACTCCCTCGGATCGGAGGTGAGAAGTTCACATCGTGATTTGGTTGTTGTTGTTGTTGTTTACCCAGGTACAGCCTCGCTTCTTCCCTCTCTCTCTCTCGTAGCGATAGCAATTGAGTAGCGGCAAGTATGCAATCGATGTCCAGGTTGGAACGTTACTACGTGGGGCCGAGCCATGCAGGCCTTGCCTCCTGCCCTTGCCTGACTGACTTTGCTTTGATTCTCATAAGTTTAATTTGTCTTCACCTGGCTGACTACTTCACCTCTCAGAGTCTCCATTCTCTAGTTCAGGATCGTCGAGTTTTTGTTTTGCATTCGCGTATTTCCGATTGAGTAATCTGCAGGCCGGGTTTCAGCATTGGAATATTCGGACGATACCAGCCCAGACGTTTGCTTTTAGTCGCAATGAGACATCAAAGCATGACACAATTACACTCGCCCACCCACACGCTCACCCACACGCTCTCCACTCATACATATACACACTCACCCACTGTCAGCGAGTATCTATGAAGGCCGGCACGGCACACGATGTGGTAGGTGACCAGCACCACACCCGGACTGCCTTTGTCTCCCGAGTGGCGATGTTTACACACCGCAGCAGGTCCTCATTGGAGGCTGAGTTGACCTAGGGGAGACCTAGGACCAGTTCAGATATGTGTCACTAGTGTTGGCTTTGACGGGAAATCGAACCCGGGTCGCCGGGATCATAGCACAGCGCGGTAATCGATACGCTATCGCCCACCCACACACACACTCGCCCACACACACAAAGACGAATTTTAAATAGGTGAGTTTTCAAGACGAATTTAATTCTATCGACTCTGTCTTACTAATCAGGGTGACCGCTTCATTTGACCAGAGTGGTGAACCTGGAATGCTGGATTGGTGACAGTTTGCACGGCAGTGGGTTCAGCCTGCTTGGACAGTGCGTGGGCAAAACCTGCCCTGTCACAGAGAGAGGCAGACTGACCAGTGGCTTCCAAGTCGGTGTGAGTGCCCTTGCCCTTTGCACCCAAAACTCGCTTAGCGCTCCTCCAGATGCTTTGTTCCTGTAGAATTGAGCCAATCAATCAGCGCTACTATATAGGGATGCGTTTCTGACAATGTTATATCTTTAGTTTGAATAATATGAGGGCTTCATTTGGGTATTGGTAATAGCGCTAATAATAATACAGATGCTAAAGATTTAATAAAAAGAATTATTTATAACATCAGTATTATGTACTATACTTTCGAGTGCATTCTAGTTTACTAATCCTACAAGGTAGTGGAGGGAGACAAGGTTGAAGGAGCTGCTGCCCTTCCAGTCCGGGTCATTTCAGAGAAAGGCTTCAGGACCTTCCTGATCTTAGTGAAGCCTTCATTCTTTACCGAAAGAACCAAGAAGATGAACCCCTGCAGTCACGAAAGCTTTAAATCGAAACTTAGTGAAGCCCTCCATCTAAATTTGTGTGGCGAGGTTTTTTTAGGTGGAGCCTGAGACTCTATCCTGGTCGTGTGAGTTCTCAACTGGCTAAACGAGTCATATTTTTAAAATCTAATCATGACCACGAATCGTGATCATTAAATCGCGGCGGGTGGGGTCTGGTTGGCCTTAGAGCATGCGTCGCTCGCATTGGCCGAGTGAACATTGGGGCCGGGTACGTTTGCTTGGCTAGCGCTGCTGCGTGTTTTCACTCGTGAGCACTTTGTAAAATAAAAATAATTAGGAACAAATATCCAGGACAAAGAGCGCTGTAATAAATCGGCACTCTAAGGGTCGCGCTAAGCGAGGTCTGCCTGAAAATTGTGTGTAATTTGTATGTATTTGCAGAATCAATCACATGGAGAAGAAAGGCTCGGCAAATGCTGGAAGTACAAGGCACCAATGCATCCAGTGTCCATACAGCACAGATCAGATGGGTAACTTGAAGAGACATCAAGAGAAAACACACTGGCGAGAAGTCCTTCAAGTGCAGTGTATGTGGTATGGCATTTGCAGAGTCAGTTTTTCTAAAGAAACATAACTAGAACACACATGGGCGAAGAAGCCCTTCAAATGCAGTGTATGTGGTAAGGCATTTGCAGAGTTAGCATATCTTAGGAAACATAATAGAACACACACGGGCGAGAAGCCCTTCAAGTGCACTGTGTGTGGCAAGACATTTGCTCGTTCAGACATTCTTCATATTCATCAGAGAACACACACCGGTGAGAAGCCCTTCAAGTGCACTTTGTGTGGGAAGGCATTTGCTCAACCATTAACTCTTCAGATTCATCAGAGAACACACACCGGTGAGAAGCCTTCAAGTGCACTGTGTGTGTGAAGTCATTTGCTCATTCAAACACTCTTCAAATTCATCAGAGAACACACACAGGCGAGAGGTCCTTCAAGTGCAGTTTATGTGGTAAGGCATTTGCAGAGTCAGCATATCTTCACATTCATCAGAGAACACACACGGGTGAGAAGCCCTTCAAGTGCACTGTGTGTGAGAAGGCATTTGCTCATTCAAACACTCTTCAAATTCATCAGAGAACACACACGGGCGAGCGGTCCTTCAAGTGCAGTGTATGTGGTAAGGCATTTGCTGAGTCGGCATATCTTCAGAAACATAATAGAACACACACGGGTGAGAAGCCCTTCAAGTGCACTGTGTGTGGCAAGACATTTGCTCGTCCAGAAGCTCTTCATAATCATCAGAGAACACACACCGGTGAGAAGCCATTCAAGTGCACTGTGTGTGGGAAGGCATTTGCTCGTTCAGAAACTCTTCATATTCATCAAAGTACACACATGGGTGAGAAGCCCTTCAATGTGCACTGAGTGTGGGAAGTCATTTGCTCATTCAAGCACTCTTCAAATTCATCAGAGAACACACACAGGCGAGAGGTCCTTCAAGTGCAGTGTATGTGGTAAGGCATTTGCTGAGTCAGCATATCTTCAGAAACATAATAGAACACACACGGGCGAGAAGCCCTTCAAGTGCACTGTGTGTGGCAAGACATTTGCTCGTTCAGAAACTCTTCATATTCATCAGAGAACACACACTGGCGAGAAGCCCTTCAAGTGCACTGTGTGTGGCAAGGACATTTGCTCGTTCAGAAACTCTTCATATTCATCAAAGTACACACACTGGTGAGAAGCCCTTTAAGTGCACTGTGTGTGGGAAGGCATTTGCTCATTCAAAAACTCTTCATATTCATCAGATAACACACACCAGTGAGAAGTCCTTCAAGTGCACTGTGTGTGGGAAGGCATTTGCTCAACCATTAACTCTTCATATTCATCAGAGAACACACACAGGCAAGAAGCCCTTCAAGTGCACTGTGTGTGGGAAGGAGTTTACATTATCAGGAAACCTAAAGAGGCATGAGAAGATCCACAAGGAGAAAGTGAAATCGACTTGTGAAAGTCAACATGCTGCAATGAGCCCATCTCTCATGAAACGAGAATCAGAAGAAAATTCCGACTTGGCAACATGGCCAGGAGTGACAGTGAAATGTGAAGAAGTTAAATATGAAGAAGTGACGGTGAAATGTGAAGATCAAGATTGGACTCCAGGACCCTATCTACAAGTGAATGGAGGCAGCGTGAAGCAGGAGGAGCATTCCGATTCTGAGGGAGAGCGAGGCAATCCCCATGCTGTAATATAGGCCTTTTTCCAAAAATTGATATTAAAAATAATTCTGACAATATTTTAAAAAAATAATAATCGATATAAAAACACCTTACAAACCCACTACCTCCCACAAACACCAGGCATCTGGAGGTCATAAAAAAAATACATTCCTGGGGCAAAGAGGGGTTAACGACGATCTGCAAAATCTCCAGGTTGTCAGACGACCATATGCCGTGACCTCCCTAAAGTGTTGGACAGTTCACATACAAATCTCCAGAGCCACAAACGGACATGATAACTGGAATATATTTTTTATACGGTTAAAGTTCGAAGCTTGACTATAAGAATAAGTCGATATTATAGCCTACAGTCTACATTATTGGCTTTATTATCAATTCCCTTAATTTACTCTTATTCACCGCATATATACATTTTTTTATTGTATCTTTCTATGTGACTTTATCAAATGAACCAAAGTACATAAGCGCCTGCAATCACGAAAACTTAAGTCGAAACTAAAGCTATCTCTCCAACCTCCCGATATCAAAATATAACTCGAGAATAAAACACCGATCCCTGGCGACATAGACTTATAACAAAGCTTGGCAAAACCCTCGGAATAATGGTGGTAACAACGAGGGGCATTACGAATCTTGGTTAAACATAAACCAAATAATAACCACGAGATATTTAAACGGGGGTAACTCATAAGATAAACAAGAAAATAGGTTAAACACACCAGACTAGATAATATGTATTCCATGAAATCAGAGCCTCCCCGGCCACCTTTGTCTTCCAACAATTTGACACAAACACATGGTAGCCATAAAATATGTATGAAGGGTGTCGGGCCTCGAGATAACAAACACTATGAAGGGGGGGAAATGCAAACAAGCATAAACTTTGATGGAAAACAGCCCATCCGAGGTCATCAAGAGAAGAGGGGGGTGGCAATCAGGCGCGGCCGCGGAGAGAGGACGGTGACAGCATCTTTTTTTTTTCCTCTCGCAAGAGATGCGCAAAGTCGGGAGAGAATTTCACATTTAAGCACGAACACATCATGCAATTCAGTCTTGCAAAAGAGCAGGCTGCGGGGCTTAGCCTCGACATTACCAATGGGTGTGGTGTCTCGCAGAGAAGAGGGGCGAGGTGATGCTCGTTGCTGAGTTAAAAGTTTTATTCTACATTTAACCTGATGTTTTGAGTCGCTTGCAAAGTCAAGGATTGCTTTGAGTTGTATTGTACTAAGCTTTCACAGTTGCTTAAGAGGGTGCGAATACAATTGACAAGTTTTGAGAGTGAGTCCCAGCTCCCACGATCAGCTGCAGCTCGAGTTGAACTGACGAGCAACCTTCTTGGTTCTTTCGGTAAAGTCACGTAGAAGGGAAGAAATAAAATAATAAAAATAAAACATAATAAAATAATTCTCACGACGTTTCGGCCACAACGCAAGCAGCCGTCCGCAGGTGAAAACCAGGTCTGTCGCCTCGACAGACCTGGGAGGTGTACCCCGCTAGTGACGTCATGTCTCGATTTTATTATGTTTTATTTTATTATTTTATAATATCCCTTCTACGTGACTTTACCGAAAGAACCAAGAATATGAATCCCTGCAGTCACGAAAGCTTTAAATCGAAATCTGACGAGCAACGTCAAGCAATAAACCTCAAGAAAGGGCGGAAAGAGCCAAGCATCGTCCAAGCCAGCATCGCAGAGAACCAGCTGCACGCGTAATTGTGTGCCGCTCGAGAGCACGGCGCAGGAGAGAGAGCACGCAGCAGCGCCACCGAGCGCCACCGTGCAAGGGTGTCAGCTGCCAGCAGACAAGCGACAAGCATTGTGCCGACTCAGCTCATCCAGCAGGAGAAAGAGCCTGACCAGCCGCCCGTGAGGGAGAGGAGAGCGCCGGCAAGAGCGCCGTGGGTTCGACACACACACCGACCAGCACCAGCTGAGAACCAAGACAAGAGTGAGGAACGGCAAACAAGCTGGTGCATCGGCAAAGAGCATGGGGCAGGAGAGAGCGCGTGCAACCAACTCATCCAGCAGTGGAAGGAGCCGGCAGCTGCCAGCAGACACGTCCCGAGCGAGAGGGAGTAATGAAGCCATTTTTATAACACGCCACCCTCACGCTCACTGTTCCGCAGGGAACACACTAAATTTTGGTACAAGGAATGCCCAACCTCGGCGTCTGCTTCACGAAAATAATTTATCAAAGAAGACACGCACACAACACGCATATCGGGACGAATAAGATTGTTCCAAAAAGTTATCTTTGTGTTTCAAGAAGGGTTGCCATTCAAGGTGGTGCATTAAATATCATTTGATCATGAAAAGGATTTGCTGCCCGTCGAGTTACATGAATACGATTGTTAGAAGTTTTTTAGTCATTCGTTTTCGTTAATTGCATAATCTTGCCAATGAATTAATTGACACATACTTCGCCTTCGGGATATGTTTCTTTATTGCCGTTCGTATGAATATCGTCGCACACATTGTTAAGGACTTTTCCTATCGCCGTATATGCTCGCGTTACTCCGAGGAATTAATTGATTGTTCTGATTACCCAGTTTGACAACGTAACCATTGAGGGTTAAATGTAGGATCAATGAGGAGAACATCTCCAGGAGTACTGTGTTAACAATTTCAAGCATAAGAGTTTGCATATTAGAGTGTGTTTTTGTTTAGAATTAAAGTTGCTTAACACAGAAGAGTCTGAGTGGTGCCTTCCTAAGTTCATGCGTAATAATCTTAATTATAAGAACTGTATCCTGCGGTGAGATTTGAATTTGGAGACCTGACATAAACACACTAAGACATAATCCGTAAATGTTAAAGCGAGAATAATTGTATTATCCCGATTGATAATACGACCCTAGACAATGAAGCTGAGCTTAATTTAGCATAATTACAGCACACTTGCATAACTTCATACAATTCATTGTATTCCGATTGAGACTGGCAGGAACCACCTGGTTCCACCAGCCCACAGGGGACTATTGTGTCCGTCCGTCGTGCATCCAAAAATGTGAGGGCTGGGTGGAGAGGGGATGGTGGGGAGAATGGTTGGGGAGGGTGGGGAGGGGCTGGGTGGGGTGTGTGTGCGTGGGCTGGGGGTGGGGAGGGTGGGGGGTGGGGAGGGTGGGTGGGGCTGGGTGGGGAGGGTGGGTGGGGCTGGGTGGGAGGGTGGGTGGGGCTGGGTGGGGAGGGTGGGTGGGGCTGGGTGGGGAGGGTGGGGAGGGTGGGTGGGGAGGGTGGGTGGGGCTGAGTGGGGCGGGTGGGTGGGGAGGGTGGGTGGGGCTGGGTGGGGAGGGTGGGTGGGGCTGGGTGGGGAGGGTGGGTGGGGAGGGGCTGGCCACCCCGTGGTGCCCTTATAAAACTCAACGTTTAACCTATTCACGCCGGCTTGTGCCCACCCTCACAGTCGGCCATATTTGCAGAATACACCACGCCACCTTTGACCCTGGCCATTGACCGAGCATCCCAATGTTCCTACCAGCTCCCTCCGCAGGAATTTGTTACGACCCAAGACAACGAAGCTAAGCCTAATTATAATAACTACATATATTAGCATAATAGCATACATTTG